GTGATGACTTACGGATCTGAAACGTGGTCCTTCAGGGCGTATGAGGAGTTCAGCGAGATATGGAGAGGGCTATGCTCGGAGTTTCTCTGCGTGATAGACTCAGAAATGAGGATATCCGCAGTAAAACCAGAGTGACCGACATAGCCCAACGGATTAGTAAGCTGAAGTGGCAATGGGCCGGCCATATAGCTCGAAGAACCGATAACCCATGGGGAAGAAAGGTTCTCGAGTGGCAGCCTCGTACCGGTAGGCGTAGTGTAGGGCGACCCCCCACTAGATGGAGTGACCTAGTAAGACATGCAGGAAGTCGATGGATGCAGGTGGCTATGTTCAGCAGTGGACTTGTGAAGGGCTGTAATGATGATGATGATGATGATGATAGTTGTAGGTGTCTATGAGTCATTAAATGAGTCTTTGAATCCCGTACGGAACAAAAGTATATACGGCCTAACGCACCTAATCTACCACGATGTCTTATTATTTATCGCTACCGCTACAGCCTATTAAAGTCTACTGCTGAAAATAGGCCTCCACCATAAATTGCCTCATAGGGGTGATATTTGTCATAGTTGCCATGCTTGGCAAGCGGGTTGGCAACCGTAGTCGTTAGCTGTTATTAGGAAAATGCTGCTGCTGATGCTGATGCTGCTGATGATGCTGATGACTTGATTTGTTTCCCTTTGTCGCCTCTTACGACACCCACGGGATGATATGGGATATTCTTACACCGGCGCTACACGGTTGAACATGGCAGTATATGTTGTAAAACAATTAATCATAGAACTTTGTATGATAAATAAGTATTACAAACTCTCACTTATAATAGTAGCGTTGTTTGTCTGCAATGGACTCCTAAACTACTTAACCGATTCTAATCAAATTTGCACACCGTGTGCAGTTTGGTCCAGCTTGAGAGATAGGATAGTTTTGCAAATGGTTGACCCCCAATTTTTTTGCGAATTTAAGGATTTTTAATAGGACATGACAAAGGGTCGCCGAAAAGGGCAGAACAACGTCTGCCTGGCAAGCTAGTATTATATATATATTTTTATAGTAAACTAAATCACCTGTTATATCCTATAGTTCATCTTTACACAATTTAGATGTGTGTGATCCAGGAAGCGAGAGGTCTTTGGCTCCCTACGGAATGCGCGCCGCGTGGGCGCTGCTCCCATGCGCCAGACTTTCCATTCATTTAACCAACACTATCTTATCTCACTCAATGTGCTTATTACACCGTTTAAACGTTTCCGAATTAATAATTTGTCTATCGATTTACAACGGAATAAACTTAACTTTGCATTGGGGTTACGCGTAAAATTTGTATACGGATGATTAATGTTCATATTTTAATAACATTGATAGAGCGATAATTTTAGCCTGAAGTTGCCTGTTCATTGAATATTAAGGATATGCCAGATATTAAGTTATTACAAAAGCAAACATTTAGCATGGCCCTTGCAATACATAAACTGTCTTGTTCAATATTTACGAGCGATAACCAAATCGTTTATATTCTTGTGCTTTAGTTGATATTACATGGTTTCGCTCTAATGGACAATAGATGGCGCCAAGCGTCTTTATGCTGATCTTCCGAGGTAGTGTAAAAGTTATTAAAATCGTTGTTTCCTCTTGTTTTTTCATATATTTTTAAAGGTTTTATTTAATTTTAATTAGCTAATATTATTTTGTTAATTCAATTTCAGTCAGAACGATGCCACTGCCCGTCTCCTGGTTCAATTTCCTCAAAATACAAAATGTTTCGACAAAGATATGGATGGGCCCATCATCTCACACTAGGTGCGTGTCTTTTAGTGTTACAAAGCACTCCAAACTTTAATTAAAATTAATCGTATTAAAATCTGTCAAATAAATTGCATTCTATGAATAGAGTTCGCTAATTTTTTTATGGAAGAGGGGCAAACGAGCATGCGGCTCACCTGATGGTAAGTGATTACCGCCACCCATGAAGTAACAAGGAGAAGGGGTAAGCTCTTTTCTATTAAGTTTTTTTGATATAGTTCACCCTTAGCTAATGCTTTGAACCGACTTCAAAATAGGATGACTTTCTTAAACCTTGTACGTAACATACCCATGCGGTATCTTTATAATTTGTAAACCGATTTAATAACTGTTCTTTCTTCATGTGGGTTATACCTTAGTGCTGGTCCCATATAAATTTCAAGAAGAAATTCATCCCTTAGAGCGGAAAAATAGTGGATGAGTTTAATAGTAGCCATTTAGAAAACATTCTTGTTGTTCCTCAAGTTTGTGTCCACGAAAGAGTAAAAGCCAGCTTCAAAAAACTCAAACAAAATAAATAATAGAAAATAGAAAGGAATAATTTCCATATCATAGCTTCTGAAATGTTTTTCTTTAATTCTTCTATGTCCTATGCCCTGAGCACTGACATCTGAATCTATTTTGTGTCACTTATATGTCACTAGCTTTAGCTCTTTAAAGTCTGTTTAATTTAAATCAAAAGTTTAGTTTTTAGCCAGACAATGTTTAATAACATCGTCTATTTCTGGCAACCCTGGTGATAAATTATATATAGTCTTTTTTTTTCTAATTTGAAGTAGGTTATCTATGGCTGCTTTCGGCGGAAAAAGCGCTAGGAAGCGCTTGTAAGCAAAATGGCGAAACTAAACAATTTTCGGCCAGGACACGTTTGCTAACTTCAGTAGTGCTGACACAATCCGCCATTTTGCTTTGTTTGTTTTGAAGTAGAGTTTATAAGTTGTTTTGTGCAATATTAGTTTCAAGTAAAACAATGACTGAATAAACATATTCTACAAATTATGAAAAATTCAAGATTGGTAAGTTTTTAATATGAATACTTTACAAACACATATTTAAATTAGGTTAAGTTCCCCGAACAGAAGCATAACAAATAATACTAAATTACGCCTAGTATATACTCTTACATTTCCAATTTTTCTCTATGGATTGGAAACATGGACTACACGCGTCAGAGAAAGGGAGAGAATTGATGCGTTCGAAATGTGGTGCTGGAAGAGAATGCTGCGAATACCGTGGACTGCGAAGCGCACAAACGTGTCAATCCTATCACAACTCAAGATCAAGACGCATCTTTCCACCACATGTCTTCAGCGCAGCCTCAACTATTTTGGTCATATCTCTCGCCGCGGGGACGAAAGTATTGAGAAATTGATAGTTGTTGGAAATGTAGTGGGAAGAAGACCCAGAGGTAGATCTTCAACCCGGTGGTCTGACCAAGTCAAAGAAGTCGGTGCGCGAAATTTCGACGACGCTCCCCGTATTGCCAGCGATAGGACCCGGTGGAGAGAGATCATACACAATAAACTTACTCTCCGTGATGGTGATCACGATCCTCAGTCATGAGGGACCGACTAGGGAGAGAGAGGTTCCCCGGTTAAAGCTAACTTCATGTCCTGGAGGAAAATAGCTACTTACGATTTGACAGCGCTTACCGCTTACGATCGCCATTTTACTTACAAGCGCTTCCTAGCGCTTTTTTCTGCCAAACGCAGCCTATGTCAAAGGGCTACAGCAGGCACACGCAATCAGGTGGACTATAAGTTCTTTTGTCACATTAACATTAAAAAATAAAAGTAATGTACAAAATATAGTACGCGTCATAATTTAGGAGAACAGCGAAATGGAACTTTATTCGTTCCTTTGTTGTATATCAATATTTTATCTATGATAACGCTCCATAACAAGGCGTTCGGCGCCTTTACAATGATAAAAAAATATTGAAATTATTTCGCTGTATTCGTAACGTTATCCAGATATCACAGGTGAAATGAAGCTCATTACCGCCCAATTTCCGATGGCTTTTATGTTTGTATAAATTTGCTGAGTCCGGGACATCAGTTTGATTGCCAATAAAACCCCAACCGCACTGACTGAACCATATTAAAACGCTATTAATATAATTTGCACCTTTTTTACGACTGCAAACTTAACGTCGCTAACAAACAATAATCCGAAATCGCGTAAGCGTACAGCCATAACGTTTCAATTCGACTGGTCTTTAGAAGTTAAGATGTTTATGACTCAATCATGATTTTATTATTTAAGAAATTTTTGAAATAACACTTGAAAGCGTGTTTTATTTATATATCAATGACCTGCTTTAAAACAATTAAGTTAATAAGTGTCTGAAACCAGAAATATAACAAAAAGATTATGGATTTTTTTTTCTTTATCTGAGCGAAAATGTAACTTCTAGACCGAATCTCGATCACGGCGGCCTTTTTCAGACTAGCCATCTGCGGAAGAGAAGCTTTTTTTATTTCCTCACTCTCATAGTTTGTTGGAACGGCAACACGTTTGGAAAGATCTGACGCAGGAGCAACGACTTTTTCTCCGAGTACCCCCCGTTACTGAGAACTTTTTAACAGAAAACCCCAATAACTATCCTTAGCTTGACCCAGGATTAGAACCCTCATAATTAGCAGTCGCACCATCGACTATTAGATCAACGCGGCATTCAATATACTCATTTAAATTATTTTGTGTATTAATTAAATTGCTTAAGCATCTGTCAGGAAACACTTTATTGATTAATATGATACCTACCTATATTTAAATTTTGCGAAATGAATATATATGTACAAAGAGGAAACAATAATTATTTGTAATTATTAGAATGAATTAAATGAAGAATAAAACAGCGTAAACGCCACCATCCTTGTCTGATAGAAAATGTAAGCGTAAACTGCGATGTTTGTAACCAAACCAACAATTCTCATCAATACACGTCGTGATCAAGTAAGAACCTACTGCGGAAGTTTAATTACAGATAGCCTATTTGTTAGTGCATTACTGACTACTATATATTAGCACTTTACCTGTACAACAAAATAATTTTCTGAACGTTCTTATCAGACGGCCACTCGATGAGATTCTGTATGGAATGATAAATCATTGAAGAGCATAAGTTGATAAAAATGTTAACAGTCGCATTTATACTCGTACGAAATCGACATTTTTAGTTGTTACAGACAAAAATGAATACGTGCACGTTTGTTACATTTTTTGTGTTAGGTAAGTGTGATAAATTACGTTCTATTTTTTCTGTTTATTAGTTAACAGTGAACTACTGAAGTGACCACTGCAGTTCATAGATCTTGAAACAACTTCGTTGCTGAAAGCTACACATGTGCTGTGATCTCTAAGGATTAAGGTGAAAGGTCTCACCGTCTGTAACCATATAATTTTCATAACCTTTGAACAAAGACGAAACAGTGGATATACTGCTGGGACGGTTAGACAACGAATCGCATCTTGTAAATTATATTATTTATAAATAAGACAAGGATTGCTTAAAGATCTTCAATTTACGTATAAATAATTGTAACATCAAAGAAAAGTAAAGAAAATCTTGTGATCACAGACAGAGGGCGGAAAAATAACTGTAATATCTAGCCCAACAATAATAAGATAATTTTGTGACTTAGTATGACGACGAACGATAGGATTATATCAAATTTCTCTCCACTAGGAATTTCCCTGACAATACAATAGGCAGTGTACAGATGTTGATAATGTTATAAGGTAATAGAAAAACTTTTAATTTTGATATACATATTACAGTTGTGTGATTTTCACGCCTTTTTAGTCCAGTTTAAGTGCAACAGAGCATTTAAGGCAGTTATAATTTTTATCACTGTTGCTTTAAATCAACATAATGCTAAAATTTACTGGTACTGAAATTTAAGTCATAGAGTATAAAAATTTAAAGAATTTTTCGTAATAGAGCCATGCTGGAGCAAATAACGGCTACAGCACGAATTGGTCTGCGCGTGGTTCGGCCACGCTGTCACAGACAATGAACACAAAATAGCAGCATAAGGTTGCAGTGAGTAAGTATAGTGAGTGAGGGAAACTAGAGACCTTTTTATTCACTTGTGATGAGGCACTTTCATGTAGCACTGGCCAAAGCATCTATGCACCGTAAGGTGAACTAAGTGCTCGTTTTTCACCCTTATTTGTAGAACAAATTGAAATTTTAAATTGAATAAGATATGTTTCAATGTAATGTGAGCCGTAGTAGCTCAGATGGTTAACGCTAGTTGTAAATATAATAGAACGCGAGCAACCCGGGTTCGATCCCCGCCGACACCAATGAAATTGTTAATTGCAATTTTAAGTGCTGATTTACCACGTGCTCGTTGGTGAAGGAAAACATCGTAATTAAACTATCTAGGAATAAAACATCGTAATTAATTGAAACCTGCACGTCGGAGGAATAAGAAAAAAAAATATTTCGAAGTTCTCCAACACGCATTGGGGCAGCGTGGCGGTCAATGCCCTAAAACCCTCTCAGAAACGAGGGGAGGCCTGTACCCAGCAGTGGGACGCATATGGGCTGCAACTTTACTTTACTTTTATGTTTTAATGGTTTAACGAGGTGAGATGCCATAAATACTCTTTTAAATGTACGCCGTAGATACACTTACTAAATTGTTTGCAAATTGTCAGAACGATGACAAAGAAAAATGCCAAGAGTAATAACACTCATCACCATACACAGCACAAAAGGGCCAGTCCTTTTGCTAAGTGTGGTTTCTACAGTAAACCATATCCGGTACTCGGCACAGATATGACCCAAGTTCAGAAGTGACTTTTCAAAACTCGAATAAAATATGTATTTGTTGCAGTCTTATCCAAGAATCTAACATCATTTCCAACATTAACTTCTTTAACGGAACAAACTGCAGCTCGAATAGTCAATGGCTACGAAGTTAATATAACAGACGTTCCATATCAAGCAGCTCTCAGAAGAAGGGTGTTAGCGGGTTGGGCGCATATGTGCGGTGCTGTTATAATCAGCACAAAGACGTTGTTAACCGCAGCGCACTGTACTACAAGGTAAAATATCTGACAACTAGCTTCATCAGTCATCATCATTATTATCATCAACAGTCTTCTAAAGTCGATTACCAGACATGGGCTTCTCAAAGTATGTACCTGCTGGTATGCATTACTTGGAAGAATGGAAGTGTAAAATAGTGGGTTACTCTATACCGTCCCGGGGTTTTCATAAAACTCTATAAAGGATAATTCCTATCAACCATCGTTGTTACAAATGTTAGGGTGGCTCATCATCAGCAGTCTCAAAGAGTCTATGGTTATCCCGTCGTGAAGCGGATCTTGTAAATATGTAGTAATATTGCTACCATTTACAATACCACGTTATAATAATTTCAATAATTAGAAAGACAACGAGAAAAATTGACTTTTAATAAAAGTAAAAGATAATTCTACTTTATTTTTATTCTTTTTAGTTCTTTGAAGTCGGCCTTTGGTTTTTTTCAAAGGTTATTTTTTACCCTTTTGAGTAGACTAAGGAATGTCCCTACTTTGCCACTCTCAAGGGTGTATATTATGTATGTAGGCGTAATAAAAAAATCATTAAACTCAGACCAGGAACAAATAAGATTCAGAGCGTTGTCGATTTCCTACGGCCCGATAACGTTACATGGTTTACGACAGTTTCACGGGCTTGCGAGTTATTTCCGTAAGTTTGTGAAGGAGTTTCCTATGAATGCTCACCCACTCACGAAGCTTCTTAAGAAAAACTCTATTTGGGAATGGGGAGAGTGACAGGAAAAAAGCCTTCCAAAAACTGAAGGCAAGATTGATAGATAAGCTGGTCCTGGCTGTGTATAAACCATTTGCAGAGTTCGAATTACATACAGACGATAGCAGAAAACAAAGATGTCAATAATAACATACTTAAAACAAAGTAATTTTTTAAGTTGGCTAAAATGCGACGCTGTTCAAATAATATCTATACATTTAAATAAAACTGTTTTTCGATCAATAGTTCCAGCACCCATGGTCACGGGGGGGGGGGGGCATCTCGAAATCTTGCAGTTGTATCCTTGGGTTTGTATTAATTTTATTTACTATAGTATCCCAAGCAGATGGTAGCACCCAACCATCTTCTCTATTAACATTGGGATTTTTTTGGATGTTTTTTTTTTGATTTCAATAGCCAAATCAATGTTCTTTAGCGAGGACTTGTGGTCTATCAAATCTGATGTAGTGACGAGGACGATACTGTACGTGTTAACAGACTGCAGACTACCCGGAGGTCGATTTTTTACATCATCTATATATTCTTTAACGCGGGTTTTTGTTGATCTTTTTTTTTGAATTTGTCCTATGTAAGAGAGACTACATTCGCAATCAAGCTTGTACACTCCTGATTCTTGGAGAGAGACATTACACTTGACTGATGGCTGACTAATCTCATTCGGCGGCTTGTAATATGTAGCCAATCTTGTCTGTGACACCTCTAACACATGGGAGTACAACTGGCACAGATTTAGGTCACGCGCCTCCGTCACAGTAAACGAGTGATACCCGCCACAGTCGAGAGTGTGCCTGCTATACTGCCATATCTCAGAGGTGTCACTGACACTGGATTCACATTTTCACCCTTATAATCATCATCAACATCATTGCAGCCAAACAAGTCCATGTCTACTGCTGAACTTAAGATTTTCTCAAGGAACGTCAAAAAGCACGTTCTTGGGCCATCTGCATCCATCGACTTTTGCATCTCGTACCAAGTCATTATTCCATCTAGTAGTAGTGGGGGCGAGCCACTCGAAAATCTTTTTTCCCCATCGCTTACCGTTTAAAAAAATAATAATTACACAACCGCTCTCAAAGTAATTTAAAGTAACAACAATATTTTTTTTTAGTTTTGTGGGAGATCCATCTTCTTTACGAGCCGTCGTCGGTACAGCCTTCCGTTTGTCCGGAGGGAAATCGTACGAATTATCGAGGGTCGTAGTCCATGAGTACTATTCACCACTTTCTTTAGAAAATGACATTTCATTGCTAGTGACCAGTAAGCAGATGAGTTTTGGTGAGAGTGTAAAGGCAGTAAATTTTGCTCGTGCTACTCACGTGTTGCCTGTTGGTACTGAAGCTATAGTTTCTGGATTCGGTAGTGTCTCGGTAAGTTGCAGACAACTTTTGTTTAACGGCTGGAAGCATTTGGCATATTAATTTATTATACATTTCATCATCATCATCATCATTATAGCACTTCACTAGTCCACTGCTGAAAACAGGCCTCTTCTAAAGAATGCCACAAATCACAGTCCTGAGCCACCTGCATCCATTGCGTCTATTCACATTCTGCATCTATTATCCACTATCCTATATCATCCCGTGGGTGTCGTAAGAGATAGTGGGAAACTAGCCAGGAGATGGGCAGCTGTATTTTTCGGTTTACAGTAAAATTACTATTAAAAAAACTGCGGTGGGCAACCCGATTGCCAAGCATGGCAATTATGACAATACAACTCCCACGACGAAAGGAATATATTTAATACCGTTTAACTTTTTTTGGCATTGATAACAAGGCTCTCGTTTTCACCTTCCGGTTTCCTTACGCTATAATACGCAAAATATGTTAATACATCTTTATTAATTTTTATTTTGTACAAAAATAATTCTTTAAGGCATTTCGAATCCACGACTAGTGTATCTGCATATTGCGTACCTAGGTAGATTAAAAGTTATAGTAAGTCGTTACAAAGTATGTAAATAATTTGATGTTCTGTATTTATGTGGTGTATAATTATTTGTTTCAAAGGGAAAACCCTTTCTTTTCTTTGCTACACTTGTCACCACTTTCTTCCCCTCCCAGGGTTCACAGGCTGAGAAAGCCACAACGCATTAAAAGCGTGGTTTTATAAGGAGACAACAGTAAAGAGTAAACGAATAAATTAATATTAAGAATAATAAATAGAATAATAATAAGAAGAATAATAATAAGAGCGACAGTAGCCTAATGGCAGGGCGCGGACCGCGAACTCAAAAAGGTCGTGGGTTCGAATCCGCCATTCGACTACTGGCGTGAACCACTCGTAACTCAAGCAATTTAAGCTTACCACGAGTGGTTAAGGGGAATATTAGTAATGTTTGTAGCATTGTTAATATTCTTTTATTAAAAAAAATAATTGAAAAGATTTTTTTTAAATTAATGAGATTGGGTATTGAGATGATAAGATTTTTATATTCAAAAGTAACAAACAAATACAGTGTCTTTCTCAAAGATAAGTGCATGTTGTGGTCCAAAGACACCTACATCTATCCTCGGATCTGAAATAAAATGCAGAAGCGTTGTAATCCCTGAAATAATAATTGAAAAAATAAATAATACTTGAAAAATCCCGTTTCTTGTAAAAAAGTCTTCGGTTTTCGTCAGTCACTACACGATGCACCGCAGCACCACGCTGTCACTTTACGCTAATATCCTGTGAGAGTGTACCGTGCCCCGTTCAAGTTGACAAATTCATGGCTCTACGACGTGAGAAAGTAAAATTAAGTTAGTCAATGTATTGAAGTTACTAATGTTTTTATTGTGGCATCTTATCGTAAATATTTTACAGTACGAAGGTCCGGCGTCGACAGTTTTGCTTGCAGCGCGCGTTACAATAGTCGAGCAGGATACTTGCGCGCGCGCATACCTGCGCATCGCTGATATCACCACTGGAATGCTTTGCGCAAACGCTACTAATCCTCAAAGAGATGCTTGCCAAGGAGACTCCGGTGGGCCTCTAGTTGCTAACAACACCCTAGTGGGAATAGTATCCTGGGGTGAAGGCTGTGCAGACCTCACGTACCCTGGAGTTTATACGAGAGTCTCCGAATATAGTTCATGGATTCTAACTTACATAGAGAGTTGAACATATACACGAAATTTTATATATGGTAAATTTGATTTTAAAACTTTCATTAATCTAATTTTTATAAAAATTATTTATTGTTGTAAATTAAATAAAATTATTTATAAAGCAATAAAAGTACCATTTTTATTTCTAAAGAATTTTTTCTGAGAACTCCAGTTTTCCTCTTTCGTTCACTTAGTATTTTCCTCTTTCGTTCATTTAGTTAGGGTAAATCAAGTTTTAAATTTGTGTTTAACAATATCAGTGGAGCCAACGGAGATCTAACTCAGTTTGCTAAAGAAATATAAAACTAAACTACAATCAATCAAACTTATGAGTTCATAAATAATTTAGAGATAAAACACACGTATTGATATTTTAAAATTTCGACACCATTTCTTAATATTTGCCTAATTATAATTCCCACATCAACATCTCCAGCTATTCGTCGGTACGTGGCTACCGTTACAAGACCTTTCCTTCAACAACCATCGTTTCTTCTCTGAGCTATAATGAAGCCTCGTCTATGTATCTTTAGCTTAATGATTTCTTATTTTATATCGATATTATGGTTGTATTATTGTTGTAAATTCACCATAAAACAATGGTCTCATTACCAGTAAAACTTCGCTTCGATTTCGACATTCTGTTTTAGTCTTAAGGGGTAATACTTTTTTTTTATTTATTTAATAAGGCTTACCAACTAAATACATATAGAAATAATTATTATGAGGTGCACTTAAAAAATTGTATATATGCATTTAAATTAAAGGTAAACACAACATATAATAAAAGACTTCCTTTAAAGAGAACAGTAACCTATAAAACTGCCACTACAATAAAATAATAAAATTAGAACAAACAAAAAAAACTTATATAATGTATAAATGTATAAATGGAATCTTATATAATGTATAAATGTATAAATGGAAAAAAAGATACTTAATTCAAGATAGGGTTTCTATAGGCCACAGCACCCAATTAAAAAACAATGGATATGGAATGTGTACTTGTTTAACGCCCTTACTATTTAAGAACATGTCGCATTTAGCGAATTTACCGAATTCTGATGCTGCACGATTACCGTTACTTTGTTATTACGAAGACGATGCTGCTCATCTGATTTGTTTCCGTCTATCGCCTCTTACGACACCCACAGGCCAATATGGAGTAATGGATGTACTTAAAACACAACTACATAGTAATTCAGTAAATGATTTAAATGCTTCTAATTTTATTATAGGATATGGTGACAAACGAGCACACTCCACCTGATGGTAAGTGTTTGCTGTGGCCCATAGATATCTACATCTATCCTCGATTAAGAATCGAAACGCAGACGCGTTGTCACCCATGAGGACTAAGATAGAATGCTTTGTTTCTAGTAAAAAGGGTCTCCGGCTCTGTACACTCACCATACGAAACACATCAGCTTTAAGCTACTATTTTACGCTGGTATTCTTTGAGAGCATGGTCCTTCCCCGGTCGAGCCGACCCATTCGTGCTACAACTATACTACTAATATAACTGCAGCATGGCTCTACCACGTAATTACGTATTATATTCTATACTTCTAGAGATTCTAACAAATAATTTCAGGAAATGCAACTTTCTTCTAGCGCTCCATACCTATAGCCTTAAATCGAAAATTATAGTTTTTACTCTCACTTCTGTTGTTGGTTAATCTCATAATTTATTTATTAGGAAAATTTAAGCTTTTCAGAGAAAACCTATGTAACAGACGGACAGACATCGAGGTGATTCCCTTTTAGTGCCGTTTAACTTAATGTAGCAAGGAACACTAAAAGATATTTAAATCCGCACTAAGACTAGAGAGTAAATAAATAAGGCTCCTCACTCTATCGTAGGAAATCATAATGTATCAAAAAACGTTTGGTAATTCACAATACTATGTTAGTCCCTAACCTAATTAATGTGTGGTAGTAAAAGTTGGGTGTGCCAGGGGAAACACAAGAGCAGAATAAATGCTGTAGAAATACGATCACAAGGTGTATATAACTCTGAATGATATATTGAGAAATTGTGTGATCAAGAAAATGTGGCTTGCTTTCGTTTATTAATGCTGGTGAATTAAGTTTTGTTCATGTTACTCATTTTAAAAGAATGAAAGAGAAAAGAATAAAAAAACAAGTTTATGCTGGGGAAGTCGAATGAAGTTTATGAGACAAAGTCAGCAAGAGACACCCTAGACGGGCATTTATCGATTGGCGATAAATTGAAGATGGGCCAAATTAAGAGTTCCCCTTATGGTTGTATGCGTAGGTACGAGTATATATTATGAACGTAAAGGAGGCGAGAGAGATGTACCATGATCGTGCGAAACGGTAGTCCGTAATCTCTGCCCGCCCCTCTGGTGACAAGCGTGAGTGTTTATGTATGTAGATAGAGTACGTAGGTAGATCCCCAAGCAAATTAATTGCAGCGTCTTTACTAAATGATGTAGTAACCATATAAATAAATGCTAACATATCGTTAACACTGCTTGTTATCATTATACAAAGCAACTTTAACCAATTTGGTAGAATTAAGCAAGCTAATTTGAATACAAACAACTTTCTACGCCAATGTCACTCGCGGATGCATTATTCGAATAGTGTCGTTGACATTTAGCGCACATCGTTGATAACATATTTTTAATTCTTATCGTAATTTCATTAACTTAATCAGGCAAAGAAAACATGTTACTAGTATTTCGTGCGAATTTGTTTATCTTTTTTATTATTTTTTAACTCGCTTTTTTTCGTAAGATATTTTAAAGCTTTACATAATAATTACTATGTTAAAGCAAAAAGAAATGAAACAGTTAATGCCAATTTTTTTATAGACATGAAATGACAAACTGATAACACAGTACAGTCCATCTCATGGATTGTGCTATCAGCGTTTAAGGTCCTTTCAATTTAAAACAAACAGAATGTCATGTATCTAAGCACGCAAGGTTCTTTAGCTCTCCCGTCAGTAAGCTCTGCCGCGCTGATTGATTGCCTAATTTAAATCCGACGCTCGAGATTCGATTATGATTAGACTATCAAATTGAAGTCATCTCTCGTGACAATATGTCGGGGCCAGCTTAGAAAATATGCAGAGTAGTTTAGTCAACATTAGTACCTTAAAAAGAAAAAGGTTATTCGGATATATAGTAAAGCAATGAGATTAAACGTTCTGATTAAACTATACACGTCCTGCGGTATTGCACAGGTCTCCCTTCATTTCTGAGAGGGTAAAAAAATGTAAACTACTTTTCATTATTAAAAATAGTATATTTCATTGAAGTTATGTACAACTAAATTGTGTATATAACGATAAATTATAAGACGAAACGTGATTAAAATTTTAAACCGATTACAACCATCATTGCGGATATTTCCTTGTCCTAAAACCCTCACAGAAATGAGAGGACAGAAAGGGGACCTTTTGATCAGTTGTAGGATGTACATAGAATATAACTTGTACTTTTTAACTTCACTTTACAATTGTCATCGGATCTATATCGTCGAAACTCACCAAAAAGCATTATGACGTATTAAGATCAAAAATTTACTTCCAACTTTACTACTATGTACTGCTATGGTGTATATAATAAAAAGAAAAGTCTTCAAAAATTGATGCTAAGACACGGTGTATAGATAAATTACAGCACCTAGGTACTTGAAAACCTTTGCTAATTTTTAAAAGTTTAATTTTAGTTCTTTCTACGTAGACTAAGGAATATCACAGACAAAGAGCTCGTTTGTCGCCCATATAACTATATTAAAATTTTCGTTACCTATTTTGCGACTCTTAGACATTGACGTATTAACTACGCTAGTAACAGTTCGATGCTCTTAGAGGTGGAATATTTATCCAAATTTATATGAAGCACTCTTAAGTATAACCTATTTAATAAAAATAATTATTAAAATCGGTTCATAATTGAAGAATATATACAGTAACATACATGCAAAAAATAACATATATATAAATTTATGAAATTTCTTAAATATAAGCAAGATCGGTAAACTAATCTGCGCATAAAGAAACTCATATAGGTGGAAAGTAAACCATAGTTTAAGAAATTAAGGACATTTATACTCAATAAAAAATGATGCTAGACAAAAGAGTTAAATCATACGAATGATTTATTATATAATGTCCTCCAGACCCGATTTCAGTCAGGGCGGCCAGTCTTAACGGAGACTAGCCATCGCCGCAGGACAGGATTATAGTACCACTATTCCCTCACTCTCATAATCCGATGGGACGGTAAACCAAAACGACCGGAGAGAGATCAGGCGCAAGACCAATGGCTTTACGTGCTTTACGAGGTACGGGGGTGAGACGTCGCCGACTTCCTGACTCAGGGCAGCTACTGAGAACTTCTTGATGGAAAAAATTAATAATTGATTTTTGGCCCGACCCGGGATTCGAACCCAGGACCTCATGATCAGCAGTAGCACTACTACAACCACTAGACCAACGAGGTAGTTAATTATAAAACAGTAGCAAAACGATCTACCTTTTATGACCTTGTCTAATTTTTTTACACGTGGCAGAGACACGCTACAGCGGCTGAAAATTTTGTAGTTATATCAAAATGTTTCATCACACAGACAAAATTTATACAAGCCGCAACTTTTTCCTTTATCGACCTAATATAAATGTAGCACAAAGTTGATTCAAACGCTTTCAGTCCCAAATTTTTTATATCGCATTGATCGTGTTGATCTCCCCATTACTGGTATATAAGTATGTTCAGTAAAGAATTTTCAGTTTTATTACTACTGTACACCCCTCAGTAGTCGATACGCCAGTAGTTTTCCTGAATTAAGATTTCTCTTTACCGCCCTGTAAACATAAGAACTTAGCAAGCATTCCTGGAGACCTGTTCTCCATAAGATAAGATTAAATTGACAAATGCTCATTTCATGGTGTTTGATGGTAAGTGACTCCCGTAGCTTACGACACGAGTAACAAGCTTCGAATGAAGAAGAGTATAGGTGAGGTAGTACTCTTTAGAC